CTTTGCAAGACGCTCACTTCTTCGAGCGCCTCGTCTAGCTGTGATTGGTAATGCATTTGTGTTTGTCTTATCGCCTTTTCTACTTCTTGTTTTACGTATGCTTCCAATCGCGCTTCTTTCGGGGGGGGGAGTGTCTATTCTGGGTAATGCGTCCATCATTTCCCTGGTAAATGCGCTGTCCGTGCTGTTGGATGGCTCGGGCAGATCGCGATATTCTAGGTTGGACATTGAATGTGAGTTGGGGAGGAGGGGGAGTTTCGGTTTTGATTAAAGGGGATGGGATTCTGATGGGTTCTATTTCTGGTAAAGGGAATTGCCCTTTGAATACGTAATCTTGAGAGTAAATGTGTTGCTCTCCGATCCAAATGTAAAAATCTCTACTAAGCATAGAAAGGAGTTCACCAGTGATAAGCTGGATCGATACACCGCTTTCTAAGATCCTAGTAGTCTATCTGTTCTCTTTGAGTCAAAGTGGTCCTCTTCAGCCCACTACTGACTATGTATGTACGGTAACTATTTTTTGTATTTTACGAAATTTATGTAAAAGGTATAGTGATAAATTGGGGTCCGAACGGTTGTCCCAATGTGACCAGCTTATTAAGCTTTCAGTCCTTCTCCCGACTGGCGGACGCAAATGCGCGGCCTGGTCAGAGGAAATCGAAAATGAAACTATGTAAAACCGAGAAAATCCCAATGGTTCCACACCAAAGAGATTATAGTGATATAAAATGTATTTACAGGGGGATGGTTACGAACGAGTCTTGGGATGAGGAGGGGGAGACGTTGGCAGGGAAAAATGATAAAATGGTGTCGGGGCGAGCGGGTAGGTGATGAAGTGGGAGGGTAGTGGTGGTTTGGTTCGATCGTTTAAGTAGGTTTAGGATGAGGAAGATGATGATGATGGTGACGATGATGGTGGTTAGGATTGTTGCTGTTATATTCATAAACGGTACTTGTGGGAGTTGTTGATTGTGTAAAACCCTTATCCCCTTTACCGAACTAATGGAGGGACGAAGGCTCAAATCAAACAAGTAGCGTTACAAGATAGCGATTGAGAATTAATCAACAACTGAGGAAAGTATGTACATGATGGTCTACTATATATATGTTTCTGAAAGTCAGCCATGAGGCGCTGACTGATGTTCTTTGTAATGGTTCTAGACTCTTGTCACGTGATGGTCACGTGATCTGATATAACTACGTATTATGTTATCCGCGCTAAAGCAGCAGCTTAACATATCTTATCTGTCATGTGATCAGATATCAAAGAAAAAGAAAAAGAAAGAAAAAAGGAAACTAGCGCTCAGACTAGCGCTTCTGGTTCAAGTCGTGACATATCTGAATTTACTTCTGATGATGATGCTCTTTTACAGTGTCACGGCCAATCCAAGTGTGACTAATCTTTCAGCTGATTCCATGCCTGGGCTCTCAGCTTCCCATCCATTCTCCCAACCTCTTGTGTATGTACAAAGCTTCCAGTATGCTGGTTCACGCAGGAATGAAGATGGGGTTCACTTGGAGGAACCCAATGTTGATATGTATCTGGTGAAGCATCATTTATGCAGCACGCTAATGTCCACAGGCACTACATCAGGAAAGGTGCATTTTTCTTTGAGTGCCTTTGATGCATCTTAAAGTCTCTTTTTTGGCTTAAACTGATGCTGAGATTCACTCCCGCAAAGACCGGATAAGACAAAATAAGCAGGTGCACTTTCTGAAACTTCCTTATTTCATGCTTACTTTATTCTTAGAACCAGCTTAGAATCGTCTTTAATTCACCTTCAAAATTCTATTGACGCTTATAGCAGCTTAAAAAATATTCCTTAGAAGTATCTTGAGATATCTTAAAATGTACCAAAAGCATATCTTATTATAACATTGATAGTGAGAAAGCAAACATTCATGTACAGACTCGGACAAAATGACTAGTGGATTGGTATACTGATTAGCTGCAATAAACAGAATGAGCGGGGTGAGAGTCTGAACATACTGTGATTAAATATCCATAAGGCAGGCGCGAGGATCAACCTCATTGCTGTCCCCCTCAGAACCACATCGAGAACTCCCTTTCACATATACCTGGGCTGGTTCAACGATGTTTTCAAGTGTGCCCAGCTGGAGCTTCTTCATAGAGGTATGATAGTTCCGTGTCACTGTACTTTAGTTAGTTTCTGAGAAATTCCCATGGCTGCCAGCTTCTTTGCCCGTCGCCTTGTTGAGTTTTGGGATGGGCTTAAGATAAGATTTGATTGGTTTTGCCTGGCCCGAGCATTGAATCTTGGGCTCCCAATGAACTTTGTGATTTGCCCACAAAGTCAGAATTCGCTCAACCTAGAACAACAGTTAGAAAATTTGAATTTTAACAGCAGCAAGGAACGTACAGCTGCAGCCGACATTGCTAGGGCGCCTAGAGGTGGGAATTTTTCTGTTTCTGAGGATTGTTCATGTGTACCAGGTGCGCGAAGGGCCTCAACTGTTACAACCCAGAGTTAGTTACTCTAGCGCACACAGGAACACACTATAAAGAAAATGAAGAAGGAGTGGTTACCCCTTAGGCTGCAGAGAGTTTGTTGGTATACAACAGGAGGACTCACTGAGGAGTCTCCTGGATCTATTGGGGTATATATACTAATACAGAGTGTTTGTACTTATGTACTGTACAGTTGATAAAGTTAGTGGCTGATGATGTCATGGGGCCTAGCCCGCATGACCAGCTCCACTGTGTGAGAAAGTTGTATCTAAAATAAGAAGAAGGCAATGCGGCGCGAGAAAGAGGAGTTTGAACAAAAAGGAAGTGCCGTGTGGCACCATGTGAAAGCTAAAGTGTACAAGGTTAAAGCGGAGAATGAAAAAGAAGGAAAGGTCCGAAAATTGTGTTATTGCAACACTTGCAGCCTCGCGAGTCAATTTTATAGAGTGTGGCATGCTCTCTGGAAATATTCTGAGCCCTCAGGCTGCTGTAAAAGGCAGCATCAATATCAACAGTGGTGATCTTGAAAGTGGTCCGGTTTCAGGGCCACCTACTGTGACACATGTTCAGCCTGCTTGAACCCGAAGTAAGTTGTTTTTTTTTCCAGTTTAATTTACCCACTAATCTGAAATTGCAGAGCGGGGATATGCACGGACACTGGACCAACTAGCGAAGCAGCTTGACCAGCCAAGGCTGGTCAAGCTTGTCCAAAGATTTCTATATAATCAGCAACATCTACATGATCCTGATGCACCATGCGCAGCCAACGTCGCCCTTTCCAATTGTCCAGCCGGGTCACTCAACGCAAAGATATTGGTATTTCACTCAGCTACAGCCATGTTCTATGCCCCAAGTGATGAAAGTGGACTTGGAGGTATGCATCGAGAAACTATACATGCTTCTCCATCATGGCGGAGAGGACCTTCTTGGCATGACTGTGTCTTTTTCAAAAGGGACCCCATGTTGACTAGGATGCAGGGATTAGATGTTGTCCGCATCCTACTGTTTTTTTCTTTCACCTTTCAGGATTTACTCTACCCATGTGCATTAGTGCACTGGTTCTCAAAAGTCCAAGAATGGCCCGACAACCTCACCAGTATGTGGATGGTCAGTCCAGACTTCAATGAGGACCTATCACCAACAACTGAGGTGATTCACCTTGACTGTATCCTATGGGCCACACATCTCCTTCCTGTTTTCGGTGACGACAGGATTTCCTGGCAGATATTGTTTCATAACTCACTTGATGCTTTTGCATCATTCTATGTCAACAAATTTATTGATCATCACACTTTTGGATTAGCATCTTAGAATTACCAACTCTTTCTGTATCGAGACTTGTGTTCTGACTTGACCTTACTTGTGTTTTTAGTCTTAGAAACATGCTCAAAAAGTCTTAATTTGTCATTGATGTCCGCTATTTTACATATTTTAACTTTTGATGGTCTTGATGGTCTTGATCTGCATTGGAGCAGTTAGAGTAATTTGAGCGTGCAATTCTTAGCAAGCTTAACTCTCTTATATGTCTTGATATGTCTTAGTCCTCGTCCTAAGATGGTCTATGTGAGGAATCGATTTTTCTTATCGCATTCCCGTCATGTCGTGGTTAGCAGATTCGATCCCCATCACTCCTCTTGCCCTTGGACTAGAGATTACAGCTGGTGTCTTATTACTTTTATCATTTTTCTTCTTATTCTCTCTTCACACTCACGTTCTATCGTACCTACAACGAGGTAGACTCGTTGTCGACCCTCAAGAAGATATCCAGATGACATAGCCACGATTCAGTGCTATGTCTGGGAATACTTCGGAGGAATATTGATAAGCGAAGAAGGTAGTGAATCAGCGCCTTCTCATGGGCTTACTGATACATCCAATCGCATATCCCTTACCAATACGTTTTCTGATACGATTAGTAAACACGATAGATCGGACCACTTCCTCCCTTTTTTCTTATTGGTTAGTTAGCTGGTCAGACCACTTTCTCAGTAGTTCCCTTTCTCGGTCTGACCATCGCCGTTCACTATATAGAGAAGTATATACTCAATGTATTGTTCTCTAGTTCAATATTAGTTTGGATTTGCGCTCTTACCGATACTCTTCATTCTCATACTCTGATTCACCGCCTTCAAGGAAGGACTTGACCAGACATTGAGCTTTGTTATATAGCTTCGTATTTGTTGCCTGACAAAATATTGAACTCACCTACCTCGAATCCTTTTCCAGAGCCCCTCTTTGGAAAACCGTTTCCTTACACCCTGAAAAAGACTGTCGTTGCCACTGCACCGGTCTAAAAACTTCATCATCACCTTCTCCACCTCTCTACCATCCCTATCGTTCTCCTCACTATCCACCCCACTACACCTATTGTCGTTCAGTCTTCTCAAACTGGACGCCTTCTCTACCATCACCGCTCTCGTCCAATTCTTCGCGTTCTTTGCCATCATCAGATACCTACAAACCGGACTCGTCAGCGACGTTGTATACCTCCATTGTGTCTACCTCCCAACAGCTCTCAGAAGAGTGGGTATCAGAAGCGGACCGCAGACACCAGAGAGATTTCCTCGCAGCTCTCAACAAACCGCTCCCGGTCCTCCCCGTCCCTACCGAAGCCCGTACTCCAGACGTGGAAGGAACGGTCGAACAGATCACTGAGTTGTATCAAGACTCCTCTGCTTCATCTTCACCAATTGATCCGATCGAGGATATCATCCTCGACATAAACGACGCACTCGCTCTCACCCAATCCATCTTTTACCATTCCGCCATCTGTAGGAGAAATTCTCGCAGTCTCGAGGAGATACTCCAACATCTCCGACAGAGCACGGAGAGAACTTTTAATCTTCATATCCCTGCGGCACGAACAAATTCCGTTGATAGACTACTTCGAGAGCCTAGTACGCCCGAGTTACGAGAACACTCAGAGGGTTAAGCTTTTGAAAGGAATAGCCAACGTACAGGAACGAAACCTGCAACTTATTTTGCAGAGCCACATCCCAGATCTCCTCGATCTTTATCGAATCCGCCCTCTCATTTTTCCAGACATACCCAGCCGCCTCCTCCCTTACGACTTCGAACACACCTTGCTTTGCGGCATTGTGTTAAGGAAGAGGCCTAACGAGGAACCTACCTACGATATCCCGTCCTCATTTTTTACATCGGACTACTACGACACCTACTCCGCCTCTCCTGTCAGTTACCAACCCATCCAGTACTTCTGCATCGGCAATCATCTGGACCACCTTTCTATTGTCCAATATCTGACACGACTTCGCCGAACTCTCTACCTCCCAGAAGTCCAAGATCTTGACGCATTCGGGCCGCGGTTTGGTCTTCAACACAGCACTTCTATTATAATCGTCACGCCCTCTACTAAAGATCATATTCGACGAGTTGTTGCTGCATTAGCACGATTTGATCAGCTCATCGCGACTGCTCAGAGGAAATCCCGTGACGGAGAAGACTACACGACCGAAATCGACAACATTCGACACGTTTCAGAATACGTCGACAAATATTACTGGATCCTAGAAATCCTCACTCCATTTGTTGTTAACCAACAATCTGATCACCCCGAACGTTTCATTGTTACAGTACTCCAAAGCGATTTCTGGGCCGTTATCAACCATAGCTCACGAACTCGTATCTATTCGCAGTACTCTTACACCTACCAAGGTCGGAGAGGAGAAGCACCGCTCATCCCGTCGGTTGAACAACTTTTTGCACCTTGTGCAGAAAGGATAGAACGAGAAACAGGAAGTTCATTAACAGATATACTCGGGGGAGAATCTAGCAGCGAAACCGAGTCGGAAAGTGAAGAGTCTACTCAAAACGTAGAATACTGGAGACCCCGAGAAGCAGAAGGAGGAGACTTCCCTAGTAACTTTACGTTTGACCCAGACTTTGAGTAAATAAAAAGGACTCGTTATCTAGAAAGACTTGATATCTAAAAAACTCGTTATCTAACCCGTTGAAAATCTGGAGCCCTATCGAGAACCCCGTCCTCTGGTCACTCCTGACACACCTCCCCCACAATCTCTAGGAGCTGCTGCAGAAGCTCTAGAACCCGACGATCTGTATCAGTCAACAGGACCGGAAGACTTTCCTCCCCCGCCTCCGACTCCAGAACCCGAAAACCAACCCGACGATTGGTTCGATCAGGAATCTTTAGACCTTGAACCTGATCTAGCGGCAGCAATGGCCGACGAAACAAATCAAGGAAGCAAAGCTGTCCTTGCCACCCCTCCATTCGAATTCATCGGTAAAAAGGAAACATACGTTGACTGGAAGAACGCTTTAGCAAATTACTTTTTCGCCTATCCCAGAAGTTTCCAAACCAACTCCTCCAAAATCCTCTTTGCACTATCCCGAATCTCGTCCGATAAAGCCAATGACGCCTGTCATACATGGAAGGCGAACTTCAACAACAAAACCGCAGTGCTAGGAGACTTATTTGCACCGCGAAATTGGGGAACTATCTCAGAATTCATCAAGGAATTAGATAACGAATTCCTGGACCCCCATCTCAAGTTGAAAGCAGAGATTGCCCTTCACGATTACGAACAACGAGAGATGACGGTAGACGCATATTTCGGAGGACTCGAATCCAAACTTATGGAAGCGGGATTACCACCAGACGCAGATGAAAGTTATCCGTTCATTCACAGTATTCTTCGCCGCAACCTCTCCCAGTTCCTTCGTGATCGTATCTCGCAACAGGAAAACCTACCCACCACGTACTTAGAGTGGAGGGCAGCGGCAAGGAAATGGGAACAGCGAAATGAAGAGCTTAATCTGGAAAGGAGGAGAGATAAACCACCTCAACAAAGGCTGCCAACTCAGTACCAACGATATCAACCGCGCTATCAGCAGAACCAAGGCTACCCTCCACCACAGCATCAACAGACAGTACCGCGAACAGAGACGCGAAGACCACGATATATCCAACAGCGACCGTATTATACTCTATCTCATAAACCACCGCCCCAGAATGCAGTCCATCCAAACACAGCAGGAACGTTTGGAGGATCAGGTGTACCTATGGAGATTGGGAGTTCCAACACGCAAAGACAACATCGGCCCAACCCGAATGTTACTTGTTACAATTGTGGCGAACGAGGCCACATTGCTAGAAATTGCCCACATGGAAAGATGGCAATACGATATATGGAAACGGAGGAAACCAAAGACACTCCCACTACATCGTCATTAAAAGAAATCGAAGCACCCCCGAAGGATTTTCAGAAAGGTCAGGAGTAAGCACGGACTCTCTGACCCGGAATGTTGTATTTAACCCTCGTACATTACCAACGACTGCAATAAAACGAGTTGATCAACATCTACGTGCTGTAACCGAAACCTACGCGAAGCCACATTCACCGGAATGGTTGGCCAGACGAATCAAAGACCAGAAACCAGAAAGAGCAAGAGCTCTGTTACGAAACTGGGCCCATAAAGATCACTACGAGCATATCACCCTGCAGGCAATACAGATGCTAAGGAACCACGACGAAGAGAACATTATAGAACGCATCCATGCTTACACCTCGCCGCACCACCCTACGTCAAAACGAAGCCTCCATATCATTTCTCAAGTCACTACCATAGACGACAGACAGACATTCACCGTCCCAACCCTTATCGACTCTGGTTGCACCAACTCGGTTATCGATCGAAGCCTGGTTGACAAGTATACCCTCAATACTACGCCTCTGCCCGTCCCTCTTGACGCTGCAGGAGCCGATGGTCGATCCCAGAAAGTAACACACTATGTCACTCTTCACATCAATGTGAAAGGGAAAGAACATTTGATAGACGTCATCGTAGCATCTCTACTTTCACCACGCATACTGCTTGGATACGACTGGTTGATACTGACGAATCCAACAATTGATTGGCGGACCAACAAGATTACCTTCCCTGCTGATGATCCGGAGTATCATCCTGAAGAAGGGGATAAAGTTCTAGCCGTCGATCTTGAAACACGAATTATGGAGATAACACAGCTAGAATTGAACGCATTTGCCACTAAAAGTCAACAAATCGCCGAATCCTCCGAAAAGGCAAAGTCAAAGCTTACTTTCCGAGATGTTGTTCCTCCAATCTACCATGAATTCGAACCCGTTTTCACCAAAGAATCATTTGACAAACTTCCCCCGAAACGTCCTTGGGACCATGCAATTGAGTTAATACCAGAGGCTAATGGTCTTGACTGCAAAACGTACCCTCTTAGCCGAGACGAACAACACCATCTAGACGAATTCCTTAACGAAAATCTAACAAGTGGACGGATTCGAGTATCCAAATCACCTTACGCATCACCATTCTTCTTTATCAAAAAGAAAGATGGCTCACTACGCCCTGTCCAAGATTATCGCAAGCTGAATGAGCTTACCATAAAGAATCGCTACACCCTCCCCCTCATATCCAAACTCATCGATAAACTCAAAGGTGCCAATTACTTCACGAAACTAGACGTACGATGGGGATACAACAACGTCCGAATCCAAGAAGGAGACGAACACAAAGCCGCTTTCAGGACCAATCGCGGCCTGTTCGAACCCCTCGTCATGTTTTTCGGACTTACCAACTCGCCAGCAACCTTCCAGACCATGATGGACCACCTCCTAAGAGAACTGATCACGGAAGGAAAAGTTATTGTATATTTAGACGATATTATGATCTTCACGGAAACACTCGAAGAACATCGTCAAATAGTCACCAAAGTCCTCCATATCCTGCAACAAAATCAGTTGTATCTTAAACCAGAAAAGTGCGAATTCGAGAAACAGGAAGTCGAGTATTTAGGCATGATCATCTCCAAAGACACTATCCGTATGGACCCGTTAAAAGTCGCAGCGGTCGCTGACTGGCCCGCACCAAAGAATAAAAGAGAACTCCAATCATTCTTAGGGTTCTCCAATTTCTATCGACGATTTGTCAAAGACTACGGACGAATTGCGAAACCACTCACTGTGCTCACCGGAAAAGTTGACTGGACCTGGAAAGACGAACAAGAAACGTCCTTTGAAACATTGAAGAAAACGCTCACTACTGCCCCCACCCTTGCTATACCAAACGACGACGACCCATTCAAACTAGAGACCGACGCCTCTGACTTCGCTGTAGGAGCCGTCCTATCCCAGAAACAAAACGACAAATTCAGACCCATAGCATTCCTCTCGAAAGCCCTTACCCCTGCAGAATGGAACTATGAAATTTACGACAAAGAGATTGTCACGATCCTCTTCTCATATACCTAATACTTCACCCTTCATATCCAACTCTGAAGTAGAAACACTCATTTCTCCTTATCTTATCACGTAGCTTTCCTTATCTTATCTTCTTATCTCATCACGTGACCCCAAGTCACATGATCACTTACAAATCATCTTACCAAGCTAAACACGATACATCCTCATGTCTATCAGTCAGCGCCTCATGGCTGACATGAGTTCTTACATATATAAGTAGACACTCAACGATGTACATACTCTAGCTTTTGATTTCGTCTTTATACACTTGTTCAACTACTTGCTTAAGATTGACGTTGAGTTGCCTGGTTTCTTCCAGTAGTGCAACTCAGTCGTTATATAATCAAAAGCTCGTAAAGAGCACCTAGTTGATGATAGAAACAAAGGCTACTCTAATCATCGTCCTAACCCCCGTCATCATCATCCTATTCTTCGTCCTACTCAAACTATACATTCGCCTCACCACACCCCTCTCTCAAATCACATCACCTATCACTCGCCCATCCACTATAATCACATTTATCCAATCATCGCCGACTAACTCATCTTTCGAAACCATCCCTCTATCTCCCATCATCCGCCCCCACAATCCCGT